TGCCATCGCTGGCCCCGCATACGGAGGCACCGGTGTCGGTGACATTGCAGTCGCCGGCGAGATGGGAGTTGCCGGTACCACTGTCGTTGCTGGACAGGTCCCAATTTTGGGCGCTGTCAGATTTGGCGGTGACGTACCTGCTGGTGGCGTCGTCTCCATCGCTGGAAATTGCGCTGGTGGATGCGGCTGCAACGGCGCTTACAACGCCGGTTACCTGTACTAAAAACAAACTGTCATAATTGAATCTGTCTATAATAAAAGCGACGAATCATAACTATAAAGCCCAAATTATATTTACATTTCCCGGCATAGTAATAAGAATTAAGTAAATGATAAAATATTTCTATAGTAAAAAAAAACATCTAGTGATCATAGGTAGAACGATTCTTTAAATACAAAGCTGGTATAATAGCGGCGCTATTGATGTCCTTTAACTTGTCTACAAAGCCTTGAGAATACCTGTCGGAAATACAACATTTTTAAATTATAAAGTGGCAAACGAGCATGCGGCCACCTGAATCCGCCGAAATCCCGAAGCGACTGCTACCCATAGACATCAGTAATTGCAGATGCGTTGCCTACCCTTAATCGACGGAGGAGACGCACATGAACATGATATTTCTCCTTCCTAAGCGTCTCTTCTAATCTACTTTTATTCAATAAAAGCGTTTGTTTACATTTATTATACTAACGCAAAACTAAAATCACCCAAAAAAATACAGATTTTTTAACACAACGTAGAATAATTCTTCAATCTATTTGAGTTTCTCGAAATGGATATATTCATAACGCGAAATTTCAAGTTACCCCTGATGAATGTGCATGACGGAGGGCAATTTTTTCACCTCCTCTTTTTGCCTTTTCTTAAGAGGAAAGGATGGGATGGAAAAGTGGATTTAACGGTGGAGGAGATGCATCATCATCATCATCATCACCAGCTCACTATACGTCCCCACCGAGGGGCTCGGAGCCTACCCTAATAAGGGGTGACTAGGCCATAGTCATAGGCCATAGTGGAGGAGATGCATAGGAAGGGGAAATGTCCTCTTTATGTGCGTCTTCTCCACCGTCAACTAAAGTAGGCAACGCATCTGCAAATGCGAATGTTCATGGGCAGCGGTCGTTTTCCACTTTGGTGGATACAGGTGGGTGCTTGCTCGTTTGCCAACCTATATTATAAAAAAAACTAGGTAACACATCGACAACTTTTTGGAGATATCTAAGGGCAGGTCGTGGCTTTAGCGCTATCCGCTGTGGCTGCTTGCATGTTTGTTATTTTATAGTATAGAGAAATAAAAATAAACAGGTAAAACATTAAAATTAGGTTTAGACATGAAGAGTTTAAAACTTTTTGTCTCAGACAAATTATGTTGCTGTACTGTACTGTAAATTGGATTTTTTACACTTTAAGTTTTAAATATAAATAAATTATAAATATAAATAAATAGTTATTACATAAAAGGCCATATTTCTATTAAAAATGAGGATTTGTGTATCAAGGAACAACGGCTTACCAGTCAGTTAGCAGTTCAGAGTAAAAAGACATACTGGCATTGTGCGGTTGGCGATAAAGACCTAATATGACAAAATTATAGTCTTAGAAGAACTTTCATGAATAATTATATCAACGAGAATCGGTACAAGAATAAATTTATAATAATGTATTTAAATTCTTAATATTGTGCCGGGAAAGAGCAATAAAATTCGAGCTTTATCGTTATGATTTGTCACTTTTATTTTACATAGCAAGATTCTGATAGTCTTAGTTTGTTTTCAGTATAAGTAAGCGCCGTTGTAAG